AGTGGCTGGAGGCCAGGCCTAGTTAAGATCACTTGCTTTGTCAACTCCTCAAATGAGAAAGGGCTCTTTTCCCCCAAACCTCCAGGTACTGCAGCCTAGGTGACCCACTTGTGCTTCCAGCCTCTTTCCTTCCTGGGCAATTAAACAGCTTAACTTCAGACACTTCGCCATCAGCACTGGCTCCGTGCTCCCTTAGCACATTCTAACAAAGCGGGTAAGACACAGAAGTGAGTATGAGGCACAGTGAGGCCAACGCTTCCCTGTCTAATGGTGTCCCAGGGAGCTGGCGAGCAGGAGGAAGTGGGGGGGCTAGTCCCCACACAGGACCCCATGGGTGACACGGTGACTTCGGAGATCCACACCCACATTCCCACGAGCTCTCGGCCTTGAGTGTCTCACTGTCACAGCCCCCTGCACATGGTGCCTCATTCCATCTCAGCCCAGTTGCAGAAGAACTGTCACTGGAGGGAGGAGGGAGTGAGCGCTCAGAGGGAGAATGACCCACCCAAGGTCACTGAGACCTGCAACTCAAAGCCAGAGCTTCTGCATCCAGATCTGAGTCCTTACTGCTGCTGGCTGCCAGCTGGGGTGTGGACAGCTCAGACACAAGTTCCCATGAGAGAAGCCAACTGGAGGGAGAGAGAGTCGGGTTGCCTGACCTGTATGGTGCCAGTCTGCTCAGCTGCACAGTAGGGTCAGGGGACAGCTCCAGTGGAAATCCTGCCTGAGGCTAGGGGCCCTAAGGCCCAGCCCTGCACCCTTATCTCAGTAGATGCTTCCAGGGATACTGACAAAGGTCATTTGTCTGATCTTCTCTGTGAGAAAAAGCCACAGGAGTGGGTCGAATTGAATGCAAAGTGGTAGAACCCGTAAGTGTGGTGGCTGGCTATGAAAACATGGTAGGCAGGCTCGTCCCTCTCCTGGAGCCACCTTCCCTGCCCGAGGCATTTAGCTCCTCGGGTTCGTCCAAGGCTCCGCTTGCTCAGCTGGTGCCCAAGAATCTTTTCTGTGCTGTCCTTGGAAGCTCATCCAGGGAAGACAAGAGCGCTCATCACTGCATAGGAAGCCCCCGCTGATTCACCCCCAGACACCTCATTCAGCAAACGCCTACAGCAAACGCTGCGCCCTCAATCCTGCAGTGGGCCGGCTGGGAAGCCTGCAGAGCCCAGCCTTTTCCGCGAGGAGGAAGCACCAGGGTTAAGCCTTTCTTTGTCTCGTAAAGACACAATGGGGAACCAGAGGAAGACTGAGTTCTCCATCACTTATTTTCTAAAATGTCATACACCTTGAGGGGTATTTGAGAAGAAGTCACGGTTTCTCTGGGCCCAGAGGAGTAAGCATGCATCCAGCCAGGAAGGGTGTGAAGAGATGGTGAGGGAACACCGTGGGCCAAGGCGGGGCTCCTGCCAAAGGCGGCCCTGCAGCCCCCTTGCTTCCTGGGCGATTCATCTCTGAAGCCTGAGGGGTGGGCGAAATACTGGACTGGGGAGGGTGCTGGGGGTACCAATAGTGCCCCAACACCCTCCAACATGTCGGTTTCAGGCTGGTTTCCTGTCAGTAGAGCCATCCTGTACTGGATACCAGCCCCCTTTGGTAATGGACTGAGATCCTGGAGAGTGGGGGAGGGCTGGGTGGAGACAGGTGACTGGTACGTAGGGGGGACTGACAAGTTAGTGACTACAACAAAGCTAATGAAAGCAGACTTCTCAATGCCAAGGAGGTGAGGTGCAGGTGACGAAAGGGGACAAAGCAGTTAGTGGTACAGTGTGTGATCCTGTTTGTCCATATAGATGGATGGGCAGAGGTGCTCGGTGTGTGTGTTTATATTTGTAAGTACATGTCCATTTCCTGGCCCTGTCCTCTGAGAAGGCATGGGAGTAGAAACACTCCCGTAGGAATGACCATCCTTCAGGTCTGGATCCTGGTTGCTAAATACCAGGCTTCACTAAAGGGAACTGACACTCCTTGGAAAAATGGATGCTGGCCCGGGTAGTTCAGGATGAGGCTGGAATATTTTGTACCAAAAAGCAAGGAAGTGTAAAAGATGGAGACATGTCAAGAGGCAGAGAAGCCAGCTGCTGGGAGGAGCTCCCACTACTGAATCTGAGACAATTTGAGCATCAAATAAATAGTAGTAACATTTTAACCCACTGAATAACATAGGAAATGATGAACCTATTCAAATATAAATAAATGGACAAAGGAAAGTATGAGGAGGAATCAGATATTTACAGTTTCAAAGTACTTTCCCACAAAGAACTTACTGATTACAAAGAGAGAGAAAGGAACTTGATAGTAGGTTCCTCTGGAGACTGGTTGGCACCACCTTAGTCAAATGATCAAAATGAACTGTCACTGACAATGGGACAAATGGAACTGTGGGCACCTGAGACAGGTGCAGGGGGTGCAGCATCACTTCTGTGGCATCCCTGCCAAAGATACACACACTAAATCTAATCACCAGGACCCAGGACACAATCCCAAACCGAGGGATACTCTACAAACAGCTGGTGGCTAGTATCTGAAAGCGTCAAAGTAACAAAAGCCAAGGAAAGACAGGAAGAGTTCCTGACCCGACAAGGATAGAGACACATAACAACTGAATGCAACAAGTGATCCTGGATGAGACCTAGTTTTTTTTAGCTATAAAGGACACTTTTGGGACAACTGGCAAAAGTTGAATAGGGTCCAGGTATTAGCTGGTAGTACTGATGCTAATTTCCTGACTCTGACAGCTGTGTTGTGGTTATATAAGAGAATGTCCTCATTTGTAGCAAAGACACATGAAAAAATTGGGAACGATAGTGCATCAGGCCGTCACCTACTCTAAAATGGTTCGGGGGGAAAAAATCTCACTACTGTATTTACAACTTTTCTGCAGTCTGTGCAAAATAACATTATTTCTGGGAGGGGAAAAAAGGGAGGATCCATACCTAACTCTTCAGATATTAATAAATTCCAGATAAGTAAAGACTCAAATATTAAAACAAATGAACCCATGAAAGCAGTAGGAGAAAATACGGGAAATTAAAAAATACATGTCTAAGTGAACAAAACCAAATGTGATGCAGGAACAGCAGGTGTTAGAAGAGACTGCCACATTTCAAGTAAGTGTCTCCCAGTTTGATGCATCCCATAAGGACGGGCATGCTGATGGGATATTTGTTATAACAATGTTTAAGATAGAAAACACTGAAAACCACCTAAGCGTCCACCAAAAGGTGCAGAGCAAATGAATTACACACATCCTACGGGGAGTTAGAGGAATGTGCCTCGTGCCCACGCCCACGGCTGGCTTCTTCGTCACAAGGCGGCTGCAGGAGTCAGGCTCCAGGGCCTTCTCGCCTCTGCTTCCAGGACGCCTGCACCAACTCCCAGCAGCGCACGCCAGGCTGTGTGGAGGTGCTCTGGTGACTGAACCTGGGTCCTCCACCCACATCAGACTGGGAGTCTTAAGGTCAGGGATCAAGTTTAACTTACGTCTGGTCCCAGCACCTAGGATGGTGCCTGGTGCAGAATATATAGTCCATAGCTAGCTATATACTGAATGAATGGATAAATCCATCAAAGAATGTACACACTCCATGTAACCTTAGGCAACAAACCCTAGTCTGTTTCCTAATCTGTAAGAGAAGGAAATAACAACAACCTCACAGACTTGTGTGGTTGGACAGACTGCGTGGAGAATCTGGTTATTGTGTCATACTCTCCAAAAGTGAGGGTGTCGTTCTTTTTGAAGCAGGGCAGTGGGGTGCCCCACACAAGTCATCACGCGGTCACTGTCTCTGAGTAGGCATTCCCCTCGTGCCTATGAGCACCACCTGCACACCACAGCTGGGGACTCCAGCTCACAGTGCAATATGCCCGGTGGCTATTTGGGGAACGTGTGCTGAAAGTATCCCCTCCAAAATGCAGCTAACCCCTAATTTGTATTCACTGGATGCCAACAAAAAGGAGCACAGACCAATCACTGATGTATCTAAGAAGCTCTCAGAGAAGAGTGTCCAGCTCAGAAGGCAGCAGGAGGCACAGCAGTGGGGCTCTCAAAGCGGGTGGTAAATGACAGCCCCGTTAGTCACCACGACCCGGTATCTACAGAAATGGCCCTCAAAACAGACTGTCAGAGAGCACACCAGGCCCTGCACCCACTGGGGACTCCCACTGGAGGTGCAGCCTACCCCCATTTGCAGGACTAGGACAGGAGGCAGCCAGGGAGTTCCAGGGCCTGTCCTGCACCCGCCATGGCCCTGCCACCACTGTCATGTCCCATCCTGCCCTGCCTTCCAAAGGCACACACAGTCCTGGACCCCTCCAAAATCTCTGCTTCCTCCTCCCCACGAGGATTCCAGTGGCCCCCACCAGGCCGGGCCCACATCTGTCTCTGAGAGGTCAGAGAAACACTCACTGGGATCAGGGCATCTCTTCAACCCCCACTAAGGATCTGGTGCTGTCAGCATCTCCAGTTTACACCTGAGAAACTGAGGCTCAGAAAACGGGCCACCTGCCCAAGGAAGCACAGACCAGGGCCAACATTCCAGGTGCACCAGAAGCTGGTGGTTCCAGTGTTGATCTCTGAGCTCTCTCGTGGGCTGAGCACCAAACCAAACACACACGCTCCCACGCCAACCATAAGGAAAGCTGTCAGAGCTCATGCTAAGAGGAAGTAAGTAACACACCCTGTTCCCTCCCACCACCCCAATCACTTAAGTCCAGAAACATCTACAGAAAACACGCTTGTTTGGATATGGTCAAGTGCCACCAAGGAGGACCACAGACTCTACAGCACCTGGAGCTGAGGGGCACCTGACATGCACTGCACCTGTGCTTTGAGGGCCCTAGGCCTTTCACAAGTTTGTGCTGACAGGACATTCCTGAGGTGCTGAGCTCAGGTGAGATGCAGACACCAACAGGGCGTGGTGAGCTCCCCCACTCCAGGTTCCATGATGACCTCAGCAAGCCGAGCCCAGAGCGGCTGCACGGTGGGAAAGGGCCATACTCACCCCACTGCAGGGGAGCCAGCTGCAGGTGCTCCAGGACCAGCTGGTTCAGGAGTCCCTCCACACTTGCCTCCCCTGTGCGCTTCAGCGAGGGGTGAGGCTCAGTCAAGGAAAACGCAGTCCTGCTGGGGCCCGAGGACAGGAGGAGGAGCTCTAGAAGTTTCTAGGCAGACTCCCAGTCAGGAAACCACCTGAACCAGAGATATGCCGTCCTCTGCTCATGTGACGGTCTAACCAACCTGTAGGACATCACCTGTGTGTGTGGAAAACAGTGCCTCTCTCTTCCAGAGCCCAGATCTAGTGAAAGAAGCTACTGTGATGTAAGAAGTCCAGTGAAATAATTTTAATCCAGCTACTCTTGCTGGGGAAATGCAGAGCATGGCTGGTTGTTTTCCTTAGTAAGGCACCAAACTGTGGCTCTCTGTTCAGTACAACCAAGTGCGTTTCCGACGCGTCGGTTTCAGGCCCGTTTCCTGTCTGTCAGTTCTGCCTGAGATCTAATTACACGTAGCACCGGGGATGGGCTCGCTGACAGCAGTTCATCCTGGAGGAACTCATACCGTCTCTCGGCAAATATGGGCAGAAAGAAATTAGGCTTGGCAACGCAGAAAATAGAGCTCACCCTGACACTAACATTAAACAGTCAATGTGGTCCTCGGGAATGGATCTGTAAACCTCTCTCCGTTTCCTACGTAAGTCAAAGCCACAATGTTGAAGTTGCGATCGACAGGGGAGAATTCAGTCCCTGACCTCCTCCGGGATGGGGGGGCTTCCTTCTCCCTTTAGCAAGGAACTGCACTCAAAAAACAGGTGGTTGACTGAAGAGGGGCACAGATGGCGAGAAGCACACAGGACACAAAGCGTGAGGACAGCCGTGTCAGGGTAAAGCCCTGCAAGTAGACTAGGATGGGGCTGAGGCTGGGAGCAGGGGGTGCAGGGCCCCGAGGGAGTGAAGCCCCTAACTGGCTCTGCTCACCGTCTCCTCTTGGTGACACGTGGCAGCTAAAGGGGGAGGAGGGTCTAGAGACACTCAGCCTAGCTCTGAATCTTGGCACCACCCCTGGTGAACATGGGTGGGTCTCAGTTCCATCATCTTTAAAATGGGCTTAGCAGCAGCAGCAGGCCTTCGCTGGGCCGCCGTGAGTGCGCGCCAGCCCTGTGCTCGTGCTCGCCTCGTTCTCCCCGCTCCCCTGACCTCAGGAGCACAGCCCTCATCCTTGTGGCCTTGGACTGCTATAGGGATCTGACTCTGCCACAAGCAACTTATCGCAGCGTTTCTCCCAAAGATAATTCTCTCCCTAAAAAGAATTTTCCAAATGAAATGTTCTCCACCTCATTACACACACAGCCTGTGTGTTGAGCTGATATTATTACTGCCACACACTTCGCAATGCACTGTTAATTACCTTACGTAGTCCTGTGACGATCTGGGAGGTGAGATTCCTTCATTCACCTCATTTACTCGACAAGTAGGTAGCAAGCAGACATTTAAGGTAAGGCCCTGAGGTGCCCGGGATGCAGAGCTAAGACTGGCCCCAGCCACTGCAGCTCACAGGCCTGTGGGGAGAAGCATGTCATCGGTGTGCTCCACTTGTGGCTCTGTGTCCTTCCCCTCTCAGATCACATCTCAGCGAGGGCACCCCAATCCCAGCTAGGGGGTCACCATGGCTGAGGCCCCTCAGGGAGGCCTGTGCCAGGCAGCTGTGGGGACACAGTGCCCTTAGCTCCACTGTCTTTGAAAAACCAAATCCTCTTTTCCTCACTAGGAATCAGCACAGTGGGAAGCCTGATGGGTGCTGGGCGCCTGGGTTGTTGGGACCTCAGAGAACTACTCAGCCCTAACTCAGCCCAGGCACGACAGCAGGCGCAACACCATGCACAGGGAAGGACTCAGGCCTGGGATGCTCTACGCAGCTCTCTCACCACTGTTAGGAGGGCCCCACCCTACTCTTCAGGAGAAGCACCCACAGAGCCACTTCTGCCCCTCGGGCAGTCCACAACCAGTGACTGACTGACAAGGGGAGGGCATGCAAAGGCTGGCCCTTGCTCATGAGGAGAGAAATTCTGGTCAAGTCAAGCTCCAGGACAGAGGCCACCTCTCTGCCCACATCTTCGCTGGCCTCTCCTGTCCAAATTGCCCCCAAGGTTTCCTCTGAGCCCTCACCCCAGGCTCTGAGCAGCTGCTCAGGCTCACAGGCTGGGGGTGGGGAGTGGGAAGCACCAGGCCTGTTTCCTTCAGGATGAGGGATGAGGCTTCTCTGTCATAGACTAAGCACTTGCAAACTTGTCTTCCCCTTAACTCAGAAGCTACGGCAGGGCATAGATCCCAAGTGGGGGTCAAGGTATTGGTAGTCGTCTGTGACTGGGTCACTGGCTCCCTGGATCCCAAGGAGCTTTCACAGTGGTAAAGCCAACGGGTTTCCCTCTCCTCCTCCCGCCCCCAGGTGACATCATCTGTGCAAACAGCCACACTCCTGAGCAAAGGGCATCCCACTCTCAGCTCCTGGAAGCTTACTTTTCTCTACAGGAGATGCTTAATGTTACAAATTTGTTGGCTGGGAAGGTCTCCATCTTTACGAGCAGGACACTGCACAGGGTTTAGTTTCTGCCGGCCCTGTAGGCATTGTAGAGAAATAAACCAACATCTGTCCTCAAAGAGCCTGCCCCTGAGGAGAGGCCATGCCTGGCCCCTCCCTGCACTCCCGCACCCCCGGCCAGGTCCCTGTCCTGTACAGCTGGGTGGTCCATGTCACCTGTCCATTTCCTTGTGTGAAATTAAGACTTCAGAATACGGCATATTACCCCCTCCTATTACAGAAATAGTGCCAGGCTTTCCAGGCAGATTGTACCTTGGTGCCTGCTGAAGAGAAACAGTTCCCAACGAGCACAGCCAGGCTGTGGGGCTTTGAAATGATTAGTTAGAGAGCAAGTCAGTGTGTGTCATTGCAAATCTGCCAAATGGCACCGAGGCTCTGCAAACCATTCCAGCGGCATATTTCTGTATTAATCTGCTTTCAGGTGTGAGCCATAAAATTATACAGCTAAGCTAATGAAGCTAATTACCTGCACCCACATCCCCCTTTCGGCCTCATAAGCCACCAAGACAGTGTTGTGTCTGAGCCGAGCACCAGTGCAAAGCTGGCCAGCCAGCCGGTTACACAGCTGCCTCATCGGGCACTGCCGCAGCCACGGGTCCAGCATCAGTGACGATGGCAGAGCTGGCGGCTGCTACTCCTTATATACACAGACCCTGGCACCTGGGGCAAGAGGTCAATAAATAATGATGACAATGGCAATAATTCCTATCATTTCTATCAAGAAGAACATTTCCACAGGGCTCCCCACAAGAAAGGCCCTTTGGAAAGTGTTGAACATAGATCTTCTCAATTAATATTATGTTCAAGTTAGAGTTGAAAACGTGGAGTCTGGAAGGTAGGGACTGTCATTTCCATTTCAAAGTTTTTAAAATTCAGGCCCATGCAGAGACTAAGAAATGGCATAGCTAGGAAGTGGCAGGACCAAGGCAGTCTGACCCTGGAGCCCATGCTCTGGACCCCACCTTCAGCACAGTAAACCTGGGAGCCAGGACCCATGATCCCCAGCTGACAAACAAGGGTCCGTCTGGGCACAGGGTCTGGGTCCAGCCAGGGCCCCACAGGAGCTTAGCCAGCCTCCTTCCCCTAGCCCAGAGGGAGGCCTGTCTGGGAGCTCTCCAAGGTACTGAAGAGCCTGCCTCCCCTTAAAGCCCTTTCTGGTCACCTGGGACACAGCAATTAAGCTTCCAACTAAGCCATAGGTTCATGTCTCCCAGACTGCAGCAGGAGAACTGTGCAGTCACCGTTGGTGCGACACAGGCCTTGCAAGTCTCCTGGACCACACCCACGAGTGATGACTGGCAAGCTCTGCGCACCTGAACCAGAAGCAAGTTCCCAGCTTAGTTTGGCCCAACTCATTTTCTGCCTCTGGAGCCCACAGGCAGTCTCTGACTCAGGAGGAACCACAATGTGTTTCACAGTGCCCTCCACACTCACCAGTCCCTGCCTCAAAGGCACAGCTCAGTTACCTGGAATAACTACAGGTCGCTCACACCTCCTGCCTGTCACAAAACCTTGGAGGCGGTGAGCCACGACACCTAGCTTCCAGGCACTGCTTCCTGTCTCAGTGCCTGAGGCCAGTGCCCCCCTTGCCTGGAGCCCTCTACAGCCTGGTCTTTCTGGTGATGATCCACCCATCCCTGAAGCTAACCTCCACCTTATCTGGGACATCCCTTCTGATGTGCCCCAGCCCTCTCTCCTCCCTGGCTGTGAATGCTGCACATGTTAGCACAGCTGTCCTGCACTGCCTCTCAGGTGCGCATGTAGCCCCACATGCCTCCCCCTGCAGGGCCTACATCCACACTAGAGAATTTACTAATTTACTAATACCCACTACATATGTTGGGGGTGGGGGGCTGCTAAGGATGAAAGCCCAAACAAGATGAGATCCTTCCTGCTTTTAAGAAGCCCAGTCTATTGTGCAAGGATTTTCTCTTATTGGTCATCCATCATTATAATTAAATTTAATTAATCAATCAATATCTGTGCAGGGCCTTTTTGTTTACAAACATTTGCATGCATGCTGTCTCAGTTATATCTAACCATGAGTGCTCGTTTCTGAATCTTTGAAACACACAGCCAGGTGCAAGGAAAATGCAGAAGGTTAAAGCACCTTCCCTCCCATTATCCACTCAGCCATTGGCAGTAAAATATTTGGGGAGGTACTGTAATCAAAGGACTCTTTGAAGCCATTGAGCAGCATTTGAGATCCTGTCTGCCTATGTGACTGAAGTTCACGATGACCCTGTCGGGTACTTTAGAGGAAACGTTTATTCAATCAGCTCTTCCGCTGGGGCCCATGCAGCCCAGTGGGTGACCAGGCTCTTCAGAGCCTGCTGGCCTGAGTCTGCGGCCTCACCCGGGGAAAGCAGCACCGTACTCTCAGCACCCAGCTATTAAGACAGTCTACTGAGCCAAGTGGGAACCTGTCATGGGGCGCTTTAGGTGAGCGTCCTGGAGTGGGTGCTGGGGTGAGGGTTGCTCCTCGACATCCCCCCAGGAAGGTGGGCTGTCTGCGCCCATGTGCCAGCTCTGCAGTAACTGCAGGTGCAGGGACTCAGTCCAGCCACACTTCAGCTCAAATAAATTAGCAAATTGTCATAAATAGAAATTACACTAATGGAAAGATGCTTTCAGTGATTAATGAGCCTCTTCCCCATGACTCTGTTTTCTAGTCTGCATCGTGAACTTTGAGAATGCTGACGCTGGGCTGTTCTCATCTCAGTAGGGGCACCGGCATCTCAGCTCAGCTCCCTGGTGTCAGAGACCCAATGGGACGGAAAATGCCAGGCAGTGCGATGAGCCACCAGGGGAGTCTGCAAGGGGTCCATCGCTGCAGATCTTGTTGGCTGAGTACACTCAAGAGGCGCAGCCTGGGGGGCGGGGGAAGCAGGTGAAATGTAAGAGCACTGCTGGGGGAGAGGGGAGTGTATCAGTTAGCAGTGTGCCATCAAACCTGTCACTAACGCGAGTGCCGACACTGGCAAGAAATCCGTGATCCAAGGCCAGTGCTTCACCAGCCAAGGCCTCTCCTCACCCTGAATCAATACATCATTAGTGGGGCCTTGCTAGTAGTGAGAGGCTAAGAAAAACACCGACTCTTGGTCCTATCTACCAGAGGTGGCATTTCTGAGCTATTTCTGGTCAGAAAGCCCAAGCAGGGTATATCAAGTGTCACAGGCCCCATGAAAAGGATATGATTCGCCAACGGATGCCCAGCTTGCTGCTGATCTCCAGGCCTCGAGCTTCCTGCCTCTCTTCTTCCAGCTGCTTTGGATTTGCAAACTGTCCCTTCTCCCCAGGGGGTTCTGGGAAACTCTCAAAGTTGAACTTGTCCACTTGAATAGCCATTCTAAGAGAAGGGGAAACACAGCAGAGAATTAATCAGGAGGGCACTCTCTTCTGCTGATGGTGGGAGAAGTGGCACATGCCAGCATGAGACAGTGTAACGAATCATTATCGTAACTCATAACGGATCCATTCCAAGAAAACGAAATAACAGACTCCCAGGGCAGCTCTGGCTTCAGAGCTCGTTCAATACAGCACAGAACTGAAGACACGCTCATAGATTCTAGCCTCAGAGAAGGCTCAGGGGCCCAGAGAAACGTTAAATTCTGGAACAGGGCATGCATACAGGACTCGTGGAAAACCTCAGGTAGACTAGCACTTATTTAACACTGGGGATCCCAAAAGCCCCTGGGATCCCCAGCCTCACCATCAGAGCCCCGCCTGTCACTCTTCATCCTCGGACAGGCAGGCTGGCTCACACACACCACACCCCACCAGCCCNTGCCCACTGACAGCCCCTGCGCCCACCTGCCCACTGACAGCCCCTGCGCCCACCTGCCCACTGACAGCCCCTGCGCCCACCTGCCCACTGACAGCCCCTGCGCCCACCTGCCCACTGACAGCCCCTGCGCCCACCTGCCCACTGACAGCCCCTGCGCCCACCTGCCCACTGACAGCCCCTGCGCCCACCTGCCCACTGACAGCCCCTGCGCCCACCTGCCCACTGACAGCCCCTGCGCCCACCTGCCCACTGCCAGCCCCTGCTCCCACCTGCCCACTGACAGCCCCTGCGCCCACCTGCCCACTGCCAGCCCACTTATATTTGAGCCACTCCTACCCTTCAACTTTCCACTCAAGTATCATGTTCTCTACAAAGAAACCCCGCTTTGCTGGCTGTGCCCAGGCCTCTAGAGCTCTGGCCGTTTCTAGAGCACAGCAGCCTCTTCCTGCCATAGCCTGTGTGCTCCCCACCCCCAATGCCAGGGGCACTCCTCTCTGACCCCTGGCACAGCCGGAACCCTGTATCCCTCCCAGGCCACCTGTCTATAACAACAATCTCTCTCATGCCCCCTCCATCTTATCCTCCATGGCAGCATTTGATTCAGCTCTGTCGTGGAATCTATCGTGAGCTGTCAATATTTATTTTTGGAACTTAACTGCCTATCAATTCTACTGGACCTCAGCTCCTCTTGTCCTGTTTACCACAGTCTCCCAGAGTAACGCCAGGCACGCAGCAGCCACACGGCAAACAAGTCTCTGAATACGTGAACGAGCAAACTCAGAGCCACCCCTTCCCTCACTGCTGCCCAGCCTCTGCACCTGCACCTGCGCTCCCCTGGTCCTCAGACCAGCACGTGTGTCTGCGCTCAAATTAGCTGCTGCGGCTCTGCCTCCACTCCTAACCATGCCCTTCACGTGGGCAGGGGCTGTGTCTCACTGACACCGGAAACCTCACCTCTCAGCAGAGTCAGGCATGCAGCGGTACTCAAAAGAGGTGTGCTGCACGGGTGAGTGAAGGGAGAGGGGGCAGGCGGTTTCTCCATGTCCGGTCCCCAAAGTTCTGGTTCCAACTGACAGATGACTGAGACTCACCAGTCAAAGGATAAAAGTGTTTGTATCGCTGCACAGACTGTGCTGGGCCCCAATATCCAGCCAGACCCAGCAGGTGCTCAGTCTTTGGGGCTATTCTCTGAAACAGTCAGGAGAGAAAGGGGTTGGTACTCAGGGTATATGAATACAAGACTGAACCCAAAGAAGAGGTCTCAGAGCTGTGATGGCTCCAAAGAAGTACTGGAGTGTCGCTAGCCCTATGGCCTTCGGCCGGGGCAGGCAGCTTAGGACTCTGCTCCCCCACGGAGTCAGATACTCCAGAACAAGCACAGAAGACAGCGTGTTGTGTAGCAAGGACTATCTTCTAAAATTACATCTGCTGCTCTTTTCTGATTATAAAAGTGGATACTGAAAAAGATTGGAAAAGAGAGAAAAGCATAAAGAAAACAGAGCACCCTGTTTTAATACCAGAATCCTGCACCCTGATCTTAATACCTTAGGTCAGTAGTCCTTTCTCTGTTGTATTTTAGTTTAAATAACTATATGTGCATATATATAAATCATTATGTAATTATCATTTTATATGTATATACACATAAACTTGAAGACTTGTTTTATTCTCTTAACATACGATGAACACTTCCACATCATTAAAAATTAGTCTGCCAGCTGGCATGGCTCAGAGGTTGAGCATCGACCTAGGATCTAAGAGATCTTTGTTTGATTCCTAGTCAGGGCACATGCCCAGGTTTCGGGCTCGATCCCCAGCAGGGGGTGGGCAGGAGGAAGCTGATCAATGACTCTCTCATCATTGATGTTTCTGTCTCTCTCCCTCTCTCTGAAATCAACAGATTTTTTTTTAATTAGTCTGCAAAATATCCTATCAAATGGCTGCATCATAATTTATTTAATTCCCTATTTTTGGACTCTCAGGTATTTCTCATTTTTAAAAAGTACTACTGAAAAGTAGTCATAAACACCGCTGTGCTTAAATTTCTTGTCTGCAGCCCAGTGTAAGGTCAGCCTAGTACCCTGGATGACTTGACACCTATTTTCTCCATTACCAGTTTTTCTTACCAACCATGAAGCCACCAGGTTTTGACACTGAATTGAAGCAGCGATGCTCTCCGCCTGCCCCGCCCAGCCCCTCACAGGAAAACAGCCATGGGCCTGACGATCATAACCCCATGGCTGTCTCACACGCTCCCTGACTTCCCTATGCCCAGCTTGTTTTGTAAAATGGGAAGGGTGTGGCCGAGTCACTAGTCACTCTGTAAACAGAAGGGACAATGTGTGCGCACATGCTGGGCACTTTGAGAGGGTCCCTCCAGGTGACCTGAAGAGACCCTACCTGAGTCCCAGAAGGAGGAGAGGCCCAGGCTCCCACACGTGTCCCTCGACCTTATGAATCACTCTATCAGTGTTGACTCTTCCATGAGATCCAACCACGCGGCCATCCCTGCACATGTCCTCCCGGGAGAGAGATGCCGAGTCATGATATAAAACGCCCTCGCAGGGTACACACCACTGCGGCCCAGATTCTTCACCCACAATGGTGGCAGATCAACCCCATTTTGTAAGATTTTGTGCAGATTAAGACAATGGCAATGCAAAGTGGTCGGCACCATGCCCAGTACACGAAGAACACTCTCTAAATAGTGGCTGCTGCTGTGACTACTGCCCCCACGTTACAGAGAAAGAGGCCAAGGTGCTGGGGAGGTAAGGAGATCCCCGGTGCTGTCCAGGAGGAGCTGCACACCTCCCAGGCAGTTCTGACTCCACCCGGCCCCTCCCCAGACCATCCCGCTGCTAACGATCCCGTTTATCTTTGATGAGTCAGAGTTAAATAGAATTAATACCACTATTGAATGCCAATTTCCATGTTTAATTTTATCGCCAAATGTGACAATAATAGTCAAGAGCTGGCACTAAAGAGAGGTGCTATGATTTTCAAAGAGCCTATTAGAAAAAAGCTCTAGTTTTTAAAATACCATATCGTATGATTCAGTCTTTGAACCGCTGATGACCTCTCCAGGGAAGTCAGAATGAGGGCACCTAAATACAAATCAAGGAGTCCGATTAGAGGGCTGTGCACCTGTCGTTACCCTGAACTCTCACTGGGAGGTGACGGGTCGCCTGGGGGCGGTTCTAAATGCAGTGGCACATCACGCAGGCGTCTGGATGGTGTGCGGAACACCAGCCCGCCCACTGCAGCACACGAAGCATGGCCCACGCGAAGGGGGGTGGCCAGGCTCCAAGCCCTCCATCCCGAAGGGGGGGGCTCTCAGCCCACAGAGAGATGGCGTGAACATGACTCTGGGTCACGCCCGAGAAGAAGATAATCTCCTAAAGCCTCCTAGATCAATTATGATAAAAAACACCTTCTTTATTCTTTTTAATTGAAGAGAAAAGAACACCATATTCTAAAAGTCCACACCCTGCACGACACCATCGAAGCACCACCAGAGCTGCAGTGCCCACCGCGGCCGCCCTGCCGCACCCTCACCACCATCACCTCCATCCACACAGCAGCGATGGAGGGACTGTGTCCACGTGCTGCAGGAAATAAAGTCACCTGCCCAAGGCCAAGAGGTGGCAAATGGGAGATGCCAACTCCTAGCCAGGCCCGGAGACCTGAAGCGTGCGGTGGTTGGTGACGAGAGGGGTCCGTCCTTGCTCACACCTGGCAGGTGCTTGTCCTGCACAGCTGCAGGGATGGAGAGCTGGGCCAGGGGTCCGTGCAGCCGGTAAGCATGCCTAGGCCTGGGGTCAGTCCTTCCTGCCTTCTAGTTTGCTTCACTCACAGCAGGGAGAAGCTGAGGAGACACTGGTTCTGCACAGAGCCTGGGTCTCCTCTCGGTGGAAGCCCATGTTTCTGAGGAATTCAGTCTGTCCGACTCTCAGTTCCCCAGCTATACCTGAAGGCTGTTTCGGGCCAACCTACACCTCCGGTGTTGATTCTGTGAGTTGAGCAAAGGCCACAGGCGGGGACTGGAGTAGCTGTCAGGGGACAGTGGCCTCTTGCTGCTAAGGCAGCTTCTGCCTAAGCCCTCTGGTGTCGACCCAGCCAGCTGCACAGGAGCACAGGACCTGTGAGGAGACCCCAGATGGTGCCGAGAAAGCACCTGTATGTGCATTATCTCATTTTTATTTAGGAGAACCTGCATCACCACTCCCATTCACGGAGGGGTGAACTGAGGGAAAATAGCCCACTGCAGTCACAGTGTAAAGAGCCAGATTCTCAGGCGCTCACAGGCCCCTCTCTGTACTCACGGGCCCCTCGGCATAGATACTGGCGTGGCCTCTCCTCACAGCTCTAACCCCCACATTCCCTGTGCACTAACCGTGCACTTTAGACCCAGCCAGACAGGGCCTCGCTGCTCTCCACCCCCACCTGCCTTCCCGAGGGAGATGGAGTGCGGAGTGGCATACTGTTAGATGGGGGGCAGGCTGTGACATAAGATGCTCAGGGTGCTGTGGAGCTACAGAGAGTGGACAGGTAAAGCTGCCTGA